AGAGCTAAAAAAAAATACATCAGCCTCTTCCCAGCAATATCAAATCACCTTCAAGTAATTTCTGTATCATTTTTGATCAGCTTTTGAATTCTGACTGTAAAGGCCTTTACACACTGCAAGTGTAAAATCTGTGCAAAAATTTCATGTGTTAAAAATATGTCTTGGACTCATGTATTCGCATATATTCTCATGTATTCTTAATGCAGCCATTCATCCGGAACAAGTCATTTTCACTGGACAAATCTGCAGCATTAAAATAATACTATTTTTACCTTAGACACTGCTATGGGTCATTTGGCTCTATGCAATGATTTCTCTGCCTCCTCAGATGTGTTGCCCACTCTGCCAGCAAAAGCTCAAGCTTATGTCAGGAGTTCAAGCTGTCAGTGATACAGCTTCAACTCCTGGATCAAACCATGAAATTCTCTCTGCTGCTGCCTTCTTTGAGAACTGGATGGACCCAGAATCTCAGTTTCTTTCTTTTCTTGTTTAGAAACATCTGGACCAGCTCATCAGCACTTGATGTCAACTTCATTTTTTTCACAGTAAGTTTTTGAGGACAAATTTTCTGCAGAAACACAGCACGTTTGGTGCATGCGTGTAATAAATTTGCATCCAAACAAAACTAGACTACTAAACTAGACTACATATATACATTCCACCACTGAGTCAGTGCTCTCAGAACATTAACAGAGGTTATCCTCTTAACAGTCTCTGCTCAAACACAACTAGTTATTCGAAGATAATCATTTGAATTAAGTGTGTTGGAGTAGGGAAGCACCTAAAAACCTGAAACAAGCAGCCCCAAAGACCATAATTTAGGATTAATACCCTAAGAAGAGTAGTCTAACTGCATAATATTGCCCTAAGGCAAGCACTATTTTGTCTAGGATTGTGTTTTCCACATCAAGGAACCTGCAAGGGACTGAGTAAATTTCATCATCAGACGGTGAGCATGTGGCTCCCTGCAGGTCTATATGTATATATATTTAGAAAATATATTTATTTCAACTTTAACACGTAAAAACCCAGATATTAGCATTAGCATTTGCAGCTCCTGATAGCACCCTGCAGGTCAACTGTCACACTCTCTTCGTCTCCTCTTCATTTTACACAACAGTAATGTGTCTTGTGGCATTAAATAAAAAATAAATAATAATAATTTTTAAGGGACACTAACCAGAAATTTGGTTTACTGCCTGAGGGCTACACTACGGCTATAAGGTTAGCTAGCCCGCTCACTAGCAAAACGCAGTTACTCTTACCATACAGGAGCCTAAACCTTCTTTTAACCTGCTGCCTCACTGCTGTTATCCCCAACCATCACCATTCGTTCTAACCGAATGTGATTTTTAACAGATGGACTCCAGGTCTTTATGTCTTTAAGACATTCCTGCAGTTTAACTAATTGGTGTGTGTTATCTGGCTTCATGGACAGATAGAGCTGGTGTCATCTGCATAGCAGTGAAAATGTATGCTATGTCTTCTAATGATGCTGCCTAAGGGAAGCATGTATAATGTAAACAGAATTGGTCCTAGCACTGAACCCTGTGGAACACCATAATTGACCTTAGTGTGTGAAGAGGACTCTCCATTTACATGCACAAATTGGAGTCTATTAGATAGATATGATACAAACCACTGCAGCGACAGTACCTGTAATACCTACAGCATGTTCTAATCGCTCTAATAGGATATTATGGTCACAGTATCGAACTGCTGCACTAGGTCTAGCAGGACAAGCACAGAGATGAGTCCACTGTCAGAGGCCATAAGAAGATCATTTGTAACCTTCACTAAAGCTGTTTCTGTGCTGTGTGAGCTCTGAAACCTGACTGAAACTCTTCAAATAAACCATTCCTCTGCAGATGATCTGTTAGCTGTTTGACAACTACTCTTTCAAGGATTTTTGATATGAAAGGAAGGTTGGAGATTGGCCTATAATTAGCTAAGACTGCTGGGTCTAGAGATGGCTTTTTGAGTAAAGGTTTAACTACAGCCAGCTTGAAGGCCTGTGGTACATAGCCGATTATTAGAGATAGGTTGATCATATTTAAGATTGAAGACATTAATTAATGGCAGGACTTCTTTGAGCAGTTTTGTAGGAATGGGGTCTAAAAGACACGTTGATGGTTTGGAGGAAGTAATTATTGAAGTTAACTCAGAAAGATCAATTGGAGAAAAAGAGTCTAACTTAACATCAATGGTACTAAGAGTAGCTGTAGATAATATTACATCTGTGGGATGATTATTGGTAATTTTTTCTCTAATGATAAAAATTTTATTTGTGAAGAAGTTCATGAAGTCATTACTAGTTAACGTTAAAGGGATGGTTGGCTCAAAAGAGCTCTGACTTTTTGTCAGCCTGGCTACAGAGCTGAAGAGAAACCTGGGGTTGTTCTTATTTTCTTCAATCAGTGATGAATAGTAAGATGTTCTGGCTTTGGGAGGGCTTTCTTATAAAGCAGCAAACTATTTCTCCAGGCTAAATGATGATCCTCTAATTTGTGACACGCCATTTCCTCTCCAGATTACGAGTCATCTGCTTTAGGGCTACGTGTTTGAGAATTATACCACGGAGTCAGGTACTTCTGATTATGAGCCTTAGTTTTCACAGGAGCTACAGTATCCAGAGTCGTACGTAGTGAGGAGGTGAAATTATTAACAAGATAATCGACCTCTGTTGGGGTAGCGTTCAGATAGCTGCTCTGCTCTGTGTTGGTACAGGGCATTGAAGATGATAACAGTGGGTGGATTATATTCTTAAACAGTTAGCGCTTTCAGAAAGACATCTACTTGTGATAAGTCTACTCTCCACTGCTGTGTAATCAATTATTGTAAATGTTATCAGGAAACGATCAGACAGATATTATATTATATTTATGTAGTGGTATTATTTTAAGTAGTTTATTAACAGGTAAGATGCTGGTTTTTATTTTTGTTTTCTTTAATATTTTGACAGAAAGTAATATTTTATTCTCTGTTGTTTCTTTTTTTTAAAAAAACAATAAAAACAACAACAAACAAACAAACAAACAAGCAATGTCTGTATTTTTTTTTAAATTGTTTTGTCACCCTCTGGTGGCTGAAAAGAAAGTTATTCTGTATGTTGTGTTTGTAGGAATGCTATTGTCAGCTATCATCTGCATAATAGTGATTTAGAAAATTTATATTCAAAATTTGTGATAAGAAGTAACTTTTAGTCGGATAATGAGGATTAATGTATTTCCTTTTAGAGAAAGAAAGATAAAGGGTGAGGTCGTGGTGGGTTGTTCTTTTTACTGGCAAGAGAAGTTTAAAGAAAGAAAAAACAACAACTTCCCTAGTATGATAAAAGATAATTTCGTTGTGAGTTGCACAACTGTACTTCAGAAGCATCTCTATCTGATGTGTTTAGCGTTTATATGATGAAGTCACTGATAATGACTTTTAAGTTAGGGCATTTCATTCAAAATAGAGGCCTTCTGAATATATACTGCTCCTACCACCACCAGCAGCAGCTGTATGTGTCTTACTTTTACTCTACCATGCCTATCAGCAGTATTTTCACCACTACCAGTTCTTCTTCACGGTTTTTATGTGCAGAAGCACGTGACACTACCACACAAATTTAAAGCCTAAGCTAGTGTGTAATGACATTTATGTATTTATATGCAAATACACAAAAACTAAATTAGAAGATATGGTGGCACTTGCCAGCCTGCAACTTAATTTGCAGTTTCCTAATATTTAGCATGTTATTTTACTGAATACAGGTTTGCCTACATAAAATTACTCACCAAAAAGGAGACGCAGTTAAGAAAGGAAGAAGTATTTAAGGTGATGAGCTATATGGAGTATTTTAAAAGAAAGGACAATATACTTTGCACTTACAATATATTAAGTATGTATTTTAAGTATTACGAAGAAGCAGTAAGGAAAATGATGGCCTGAATTCAGAGGAATTTTGTATTGAACCAAAGGAAATCACCACACAAGTAACAGGAAACGGTAACTGCATGTTTTGCAACAACAACAACAACACCCTGAATATAAAAAGTTTTTTTTTAAAGCAATAATCACAGCATTAAAATTAAAGACAAGAACTATGGATATGACTATATAACAGATCCCTTTCTATATGCAGTTTGATATTCCATTTAGGTTCAGAGGAATGGGCAAGCAGAATCTTGTTTCGATGTGCTCTGAGACACTTGGAATTTACCACCATGCCACTGAGCACCTTTAAGGAGTGTGTCAGGTTATTTAGACATTTATAGATGTTATTATTTATTAATATTAGAACTTTATTGGTCTTGTCAACTATAACAAACTGAATAGCAAACATGCACAACTTTCATAAATGCTTGAAAACATTGCTACACCCAATTTTCAGTGCTCTTACGAGTGTGTGAATTAGCTTTCGTGACCTTTCCTACCATGAGCAACCTAAGACCCAAGATGGTTTGCATTTAAAACCTGTTCAGAACTAAATGTAAACAGCTTCCTAGGTCTGGATAGAAAAGCAAACAGAGAAATAATAGGTGTTATAGCCGTTCTACTAGTAATCACCACCAAGATTTTTCTCGAAGCTCGCATGTAAATGAGGTTTTTTTAATATATCGTTAAGCCTCAAGTAGGGCAGGAGTTTAGTGTTTTCATTGGTTCACTGAAAACCACTATGTATTTCAGTGGAGCTCAGAAACCTCAGCCACATGAGGAAACTGACAAATCAACAGAAAAAAAACAAATCACTGATGTTTGTACTGCAGGTCTTATAATAGAATGTGACATGGCGACATATTGTATGTCACCAGTCAGTGAGTCTAAATCCTCATATCTGTCAGATCTTGTCTGACAGTGTTTTTCTCTTCATTAACTCCCCCTCAGGCCAAGAGCTACATCCAGTACATGCATAACTCTCTCTCTCTCTCTCTCTCTCTCTCTGTGCGCTCTTTCTCTCTCTCTCAGCGTCAGTGTGATCAATTTCTTTACTTCCTCCTTTTTGGAGTGGCTGAGCTGAATACCAGAACAGGATATGCTTTACTCTCAGTTTCACGGCAGCAGCAACAGCAGCAGCAGCAGCGGCAGGAGCAGCCGTGAGGACGACACACTGCAGCCAAGATGAGTGCTGGGGATGTGGTCTGTAAAGGCTGGCTCATTAAATCCCCTCCGGAGAAGAAACTGAAGAGATTTGTGAGTAGGAGCACACATCGGACACTTGTCTATGTCCTCTGCCAGGAGGACGAATGCCAGGCTGTGGTGCTGAGCCGTGTGTGTGTGTGTGTGTGTGTGTTTATGTGTGTGTGTGTGTGTGTTTATGTGTATATGCTGCGATGTAGAATGAAGATTAAGAGATACACTGACTTGTATGTTTGCCTTGTCTCGGTCTCCTTTATATCACCTACCTCATCTCTGGTACAGGTCACTTTACTTTTGCGTGTTGGCGTAGTTATAGCAGTCATGTGCTTTAGCAACAATACCCCACTCACTGCAGATGTGCTTCAGACACATTCGGACGTGAGTCCTTGCAGCGAGTATATGTAATAGCTTACATAAACAGCATCCAGCCTTGACTGTTTTGTGGTTGTGGGGGGTCATGTGATAGTGTCAGGCTGGCCACTTGCTCTGCGCTCTGTGCGTCTGTGTGTTGTGAAACATGGGAAGTAATGTCAGGGGCAGTCAGACACTTAAGCGACAAGCAGAAATAGTCCAGCTCGATGATGGCTGTATGTACTTCCTCTGTACGAATAGAGGAGGTGGAGGGCCATTTGTCAACAGCGGTGTAAGGAAAGGGTGTGTGTGTATTGGGTTTTTTGCGGTGCGGGAGGGGGGGGTTTACATGCGTGTATGTGTGTTGACAGTGTTGGGATGGGAAATAGAAACTTATTTTAGCATGACATGCAAATCCACAGTTGTATAGACTGGTACACTCAGTGTTTGCCTTATTCAAAATATCAGGCTCTGGTCTTGCCTGTATGAAAATTAGTAATTATCTGGGTCAAATTTATCTTTGTAAGTAACATGCTGACAAGACTGAAGGAGCAAGGGGCTGTGGTAGTTAACTAAGGTGTTGGTTGGATTGTGTTGCTAGAGATACACTTCGCTGGAAGGAGCTCTGTCAACATTGTGTTTCCACTTTCTGGAAATGCAGTTTGCAGTCCATCAGTGTGCGTGATGAAGTGGAGCAGGAGTCTGTATTTTGTTTACTCAGATATACACATGCAGCGCTATCAGATGTTTGTCACATTGCTGCTATCACAGTGTCTGATTCCAGGATTTCACACCTTGTTTTCCTTTAAATAAAGAAAAGGTGGGGGGGACATCATCAAAACACCAATTAAACTTAAAATATTGATATACTACAAAGTAAAAAATACCATAAATCTCACTTGCCTTCATATTAAGCCACTTCTTGGCTGAATACACTTTGGCCTGTCACAAACAGATACAGGGGTGTAAAGAATGTAATTAAAAATGGCTGAATTCCATTTAGCTCCTCCAGTCTTTGAGTTCTGGCTTTGGTAGAACAGCCAGAGCCAGAACCACTAATTATTAATTATGGTTTGGGGCTTTCTGTTGTGGGAGTCACAAAATAATCGCGACAAATAATCTCAACAAGGACAAGTTACTCATTTGTCACCACTGCTGACCAACCGTTACCCATGTGACCAGAGTTTCGAACTAACCTCACGTGACAGAAGATAAGGAAGCTGCATCTGATGTGGTTGAAACTTTAAAAACACAGAAAACAAGCTTGTTTGTGAGTTTCAGATCAGTGTCGGACTTGCGATGTTTTTTTTTTTTTTTTCAAATTAAACAGACATACAGTATCTACAATCTGGAGATAAACTATAGGCCTTAGCCTACGGTAATATAAAGAAAAGCAAGGAGGTCCATGTTTAATTAGGAGGTGAAACCTGATTTCATCAGAATATACAGAATCTATTGATTGGCTTCTACACTCACCATCTGCTTCCATTAGATGAACCTGGGTACACAAACCAACTCCTTTTTAGGAGTGCGAAACTTTTCATTTTCAGAACATCTACAGGATCAAAATTGCCATCTGTCTAGTTACGGTTTCCTCTTAAGCTTAGTAGTGTTTTTTAGGCAATAAGTCTGTGTGTGTCTAACCATTTCCTGGAATGAACACATAAATCACCAACTGACTTGTTGCAGGAGAGCATTTGTTACACACAGAAAGAAATGTTACACAATTTCAAGCCTTGAAGAGAATCAGAAGAGACTCAGCCACAACAACGAAGCCACAAAAACCAAGAGTGAAACGATAACATCACACACACTTTTATTATTCTTAACGTGATTCTTCTTAATTATTATTATTGAACTGTAACAGCTCCATGGCTAGGATGAAACTCGGTTGGAATAGAGGGCTTAGGCGGTGCTCATTGTGAGTAGCTATAAATACCTTTTAGTGCAGTTTCAGTGTTAGGTTTTCAGTTAGTTTTCAGCTCAAAGAAGTAACCAGGCTCTTTATAAATACCTCTTTCATTCTGTTAGACATTTTCTGCTAAATACAGTGAACTTCCTCTTCTCTGCACTTCTGGGAAATTTGAGTTGAGGTTCCGCTTACTGACCATAACAAAGGCAAAGAAACTTAGTTAGCTCGTTGCTGTTAGCGGGGCCATGATCAAATTCTCGTGATTAGCAAAATTGGCGGGAAAGGCTGATGCTACAGTTTGAATTATGAAGCACTGTATTTAAAGTGAGTCATAATATTGAGTGAAATTTAAATTCAAGAGCAAGGCCATTAAACCTTCTTTACTTCTTGCACCTGCAGGCATGGAGGAAACGTTGGTTTGTGCTTCGAAGAGGTCGCATGAGCGGTGATCCAGATGTGCTGGAATACTATCAGAGCAATAACTCCAAAAAGCCAATCCGCACCATTGACCTGAAAGAGTGCGTGGTGGAAATGCTGGAAGGGCAACTGCGGATAAAGAGGGACTTTCACGGAAAGCACCTCTTCGTGGTAAAAACCTCATCTCGTGTTTTTTACCTGGTGGCCAAAACCGAGGAGGAGATGAACAGCTGGATCAGCAGCATTAGTCAGATTTGCCAGTTTGGGAGCCTGGAGGATGCAGGTAAACATGTCGAAAGACGCTGCTGCACTGAAGTAATCGTGTAGACTCCCTCTGCTGGTCCAAAACAAATTGGTGTCACCACTCAGGAAGTGGGGAGTTTTATGAGGTCAGAACAAACTGTTTGTTTGGAGCTTCATGATTTTCGTTTCCCATGCTAACTGAGGCATTAAGTGTAAGACTGCACCTTACTGACAACTGTAAAAAACAAAACAAAACTGCAAATCTGCAATAAATTCTTCAGGTTTACAATCAGGTTGCTCTCAACCATGCTGTTTGTACAAGATTTATTTCCCTGTTCCCTTTAAGATTTAAAAAAAAACAAACCCATTTTAAATATACCCAAGGAAGGCAGATTTTAGATCTAGATTTTAAGTGAATTGTACTTCTGAAGTACCATTAAGGTTGGATTGGTGGCTTTGAAAGCATTGGATGAGCTTGAAAGTCTTCAAAATTAGAAACTTTGGAACACAGCAAGGGTACCACAATACTGTGGTTGTCACAGGTTGGTTGTATGACCTTACAAGTTTGAACTTCAGAAACATTTTCACAATCGTGTCACTACATGTGATTAGCACCATTTCATACCTGGACTTTTTTCCACTTCAGCAGCAGCAGCAACAACAACAACAAGGAAACATTGCTGTATTTTTCCCCTTTTATCATTTGAAATATGTAAATATTTTGACTACAGTTTGTCTACACACACACGCGCGCGCAATGGAAATAAATTCAAATAAAAGTTCTGGTGAAGCAGTGTACACAGTTTAGATAAAGCCTGACCTCACGTTTTATCAGGAGCCTGGCTGTTGTCTGCATGTGTGTTTCCAGCGGTCATAAGTGTTGCAGTTCTGCATACTCCCTGCCTAATGTCGCTTCTGGATCTGAGGGGATAAGAACAGCTCAACATTACATTCAAATGAGCACATGGCACTTTTGTATCACCTCCATGCTTCGGGGTGTAATTAGATTTTTTGAATCTAACACATCGACAGTTTACCATCATCACTTGAAGCAAAGGCTGATTCGGCCTTTGCTTCAAGTGTCATTTTTGTGGAGGAGACTTCAGCGTGCGTCTGTTAAAAAGCTGTCATCTGCATGAAGGAGATAGAGCAACGGCACAACTTTTGCCGATATGCCACAAGCTTGTAAATCAAAAAATGGAGTTGTGAGTTGTGGCGCACAATTACTGTTGCACAAAGATTTTTACTGAGAATTCTGGATGGCAGCAGTAGACCTTAGATCTCGAGAGCTCTTTGCAGCAACTCATAACTTTTGCAAAGGCTTTTAAAAGGTTGCTCTGTGCCCACAGTAGGACACAAATATCTAATAGCAAATATTTCATGAGAACATCCAAAGACTTTTGGATTAGTGCTGCGGGAACGGCCTTGACTTGAGGGGGGCCTTGAGTGAAATGGAATGAAACAAATTTCTGAACAAGGGCCAACCTGCCTGAAAGAATGAGGGGATTTATAAACAGAAGACATATCTGCTTTCAAGTTTCTTGCAATATAAATACCACTTCATATGTAAATGCAGAAAATGAAGAGTGAGTGCAGGCAGGGAACGATTGCATCTTCTGGCTTTGCAATTGCTCACTTACATTCTCTGTGTTTCTTTCTTCTTGTTGTCAACAGAGAGCTCAGAGGAAAGCTTTCCTCACACTCCCACCTCCCTTCAGCTGTCACCTGACAGCTCTGATATAGCATCTGTAGAAAGCCAACAAGATTCCAGCTATCCACCGGACTACCTCTTTCTCTCCCAGTGTGAGACGGGGAGTGTGATCACTAGTCGGTATGTACAGTGTGTGCAACATGTCCCACAAGCTGAAATCATAGCTGTGTGGTGTGTGTAACAAATGTGATATTTGCATTTTTTTGTCCTTATCTGCAGACACAACAGCTTTTCAAACTCCGAGATCTCTCTGGAGCAGAAGTCATCAGACGATGCCGTCAAGGACATCTGCACCGAATCTTCTTTATCCTCAATCTCCCACACTAGTCCCAGTCCATCTCTTTTCCCCCATGGGAGGCTAAGCAACCCTCCATTCAGCGCTCCATGCACCTCCATAGCTTTGCCCTCATCGTCTTCCTCTCCACTACATCACTGCGCCACAAGTGTCTTCCAGTTCGACAAACCACATTCTCCCGCGATGTTTGAGGCGACGGGTGATAAACTAACACCCCCTCCACTGCCACCCAAGCCTAATCACCTGTCAGAGTACGCAAGCGACGAAGGCCTTCAAAGGACGAGGGCAATGAGTGCGCACCATTTCTCGAGCAATGCTGGATTTTTTCCACGGAGGACCTCTTTGTCGAGCCTGGACCATTTCAAATTGGGTAAATCCTAATGCACAGTATAGAAGCTGATGAAGATGATCCTTGCTCAGTGAAACATAAACCTGGTGGAAATATGATCAGGATGCTTTTTGATTCATACTCATATCAGCTGATTTTAAAAGAGTTTTTTAAAGAAGTTAAAAGACATAATTCTTTGGTTTATTTGTTTGTTTTTTAGGAAATGCCGAGAGCAAATTTATGCAGATAAGGAGACAAAGTATTAATTTGGTAAGAACAGTGACACACTTTTATTTTTATGCACACTTTTTGTTTTTCAAGAAAGTGTTAGATAAGAAAATTTACACCTATTTCATGTCCATATGATAAACAGGAAGCCTCAGCGAGCTTTAAGTTAACTCAGGTTAGCATGAGTGTGACATAGTCTTTCTTTCAAGTCAAAATTAGCACAATCATGTAGCGTCTGATTTGTTATCAGGCTTACTAAGAAAAAAATTATCTCGGTCATCGTATGTCAGCAGCAACTTACAGTTATGGCCCGTATTACACATTCAAAGCTACCTACAAATCACATTATTGTGAATTAAATTTCCACTATTATCTGTTTGTTTGTTTGTTTGTTTGTTTGTTTTTTACAATCAGTTTACTTTTAGCCATTTCTGCCTATATGAAGTCAATGACATCAGCTACCATTAGATTGGCTGCACGAGTATAGTAGTCTCACTACAAGTTGTTACTAAACAAATCAACCTGGCTAAGCTAAGTTAGCTTCATATTTATGACATGTTTCTCTTCTAACAATACAGTGATTACATTTGCTAAAATGACAATACCTCTGTAGGATTCAACTAATGGCAACTCCCCCCTGTAGTATTATTTCTCTATTAATAAATACATGTAATGAAAATAGTTTGAAAAATGCCCCAAGCATGTAACAAGTCTGGAATTAACAAATGTTCCAGCTGTAATATAATAATATATTTGATGCAGTGCACGTGCCTGATCATATGATGCTTTATGTTTTTGCAGCCTTGTTTAAATAGCACAAAACTTCAAAACTACCAGGATGAGTCATATGTTCCTATGGCTTCCCCTTCGCCTTCTCCTTCTCTTGCGACCGTGGAGTCTGATGGTTACATCCCCATGAGCCCAAGGACATTAAGCTTCCTCAATACAACCTACAGTATTGAACCGTCTGCATCTTTCAGCCCACTAATGAGTCAACTTAGTGCTATTGCACCACCTCCGATTCACCGGCATCTAAAACCTCGCATAAGGAAAGGTGAGAGTCCAGCCTGAATGTTTGGAAAGTACTAAATGTTTGTTTCATCTTTGGCTAGATGTTTTCAAGATTTTTTTTCCCATTGAATGTTTTCTGTAAACTTTAATGTGTACAGCTTAATTAAAAATTATGCTTTGTGCGCTCTCATAGTCACAGATCTATGCAACGAACATGTCTGACAGATATACAGCACCTGTATCAGAAACACTGATCTCCGACATGGCCTTTCTGTGCCGTGTTAGAGAATTGCAGCCAATCTGATAATGCTGACCTTTTCTCGCTCCACAGCTCGACCCCCACCTCTTGATCTGAGTGGCCTTTCTACAATCACAGAATGTCCCACGCATCTCCCTTTGAGCAGAGCGCTGATCGACTCATGGTGAGCAGAAAGTGTCTTTGTCTACAAACTTTTGTGTTGAGTTATAGAAACAAGAACAAGCACACGATCGGGTTAATAAAATTGCAGTTAGGGTTTGAGCCTTGTTTTTTAAGAATACATTTGGCTATGGATGTTTTTTAAACCTCAGGATTCTCTGTATTTTCTCCTTTTAATTTGAAAGTAAATAACTGTTTCCGTTCCTTTCTTCACAGCTTTTCAGTGAACCCCTCACCTCTTGAAAGACGACTTGAGAATGGGGAGAAATTAAGAGATGAAGTCACAAGCTCCTCTGCAATGGTAGGATTTCTATTCAGTGGAAACATATGTAGAATTATTTTTTAAATATTATTTTTCTATCTATGGTTTAGAGAATGCTTAAAGAAAATGACTCAATCTGTCACTGTCTTATTATAGAACCATTTGTGAGTGGGAAAATATGCTCAGAACTCACATAGCTGAAGAATGTGGGAGTGGAAAGTGACTACCAATTTCCAAAATATTCTTCTCAGCTACTTGTAATTGTTCATGGTCTGGAAAATGTGCATATTTATTTTATTTTCCCTGAATAAAGCCTTGAAAAAGTCACATTAGTCATCCATAGTGTCTCTAGACACATATAGCTTCCGACGTGTTCTTAAACTCAATCTGAAAATGAACAGAGGTCACTTTGCTTTTGTTTAGTGACATATTTAATGAAAATAAGACACTAGTGAAGCTTACCTGCTGTTGACTGATGTTCCTTTAGGATTGTAAATATGTCAGAAATATTTTCCTGAGAACAGGGACGTTTTTACGAAGCCTTTATGATTTGTTTTTTCTCACAGGAATCAAGGCAGCAGTTCTTTGATGGGCCAGTTCAGCCCAGGGCGAGAAGTTCAAATCTTGACTATTTGTCACTGGATTTCAATTCAGCAACCCCCTCTCCTGTGCTGAAGGTATGCTTTTATTTGGCTTTATTTTTTATCTTTATTTTTATTTGACAAATGACAACAACTGCACAGCAAGACTTCTACTGTACCCTGTGGAGCATTGATAGTTTAAATGTTTGTGCAGGTGAAGCAGAATTGTATCACTGTTAAAAATGTGACGTCACTGTCTGCTTATCTCTCCCTCTCGATGTCTAGCAGAAGCCATTCCTGTCCGATGAGTACAGAGTGGATTACGTGCAGGTGGATGAGAAGAAGACGCAGGCGCTTCAAAACACCAAAATGGAGTGGACAGACGTTCGCCAGTCGAAGACCTGACACTATGAAACGAATTACGAACACACAGTTTCAAGAAGGCCAACAACAGCAAGGAGTACATATTGGGGGTGACCAGGTGTACCATTTTATGTCCATATCAGTTTTTACCCCCCTCCCACGCTGCACATATTAAGCTAATGTCTCACAACCTACACATGAGTCTCACAAGAAAACCAAAGATGAGTATCGAACAGATACAGACTAACAATGACAGGTAACAACAGCCTCAATTGTCACTGGGAATGAAAAATGTAACGGTAAGAGCAGAAATTTTTTTTAAAAACAAACTTTATCTTCAATTTATAAGACACAAGGAAAATCTTATCTTCAAATCTTCAAATGTATAAAAAAAAACCCAAAAAAACCTTTAACCTGCATTTTTAAAGCCACATATATTAAAATCACATGCTACCCCTCAGCATTAACTTAACAATTATACCTCACTTTTAATTTGTTGACATCTGGTCACTCTTGGATGTGTGTAGATAAAGAAGAATAAAAAGATTGTATAAGCACTTTGGGAAACAGTATTGAAATAAAATTACAATAGTAATTAAGCAGTAAGACCTTTTGCATAGAGGATATGCAAAATTGCACTGTTAAAACTAAGTTAAGTCTCCATAGAACTGAACTGTAAATACTGCCTAATCATGCACTATTCAGTGATTTTTCTGTAGCATTAAGTTTCACCTGATTTGCAAAAGGGCATCATATTGTTTTACTGTATTAAAAAAATGCTGTAAATATATGTATAGAGATGTTACTGAAGAATTTTTTTAATGATAAAATGTTGTTTTTAAGATTTCTCTCTGTGTCAATATATAACGTGAATGAAAATGATCCATTCTGAGATTCTGCCTGAATATTACCCACATCTTAAAGAACCAAAACTAACTTGAAACTTTAAACATTATTGCCATAACACATTTGGTTATACAGGTGAACCATCTTATTTACTGAACATATGTCCAATCACCTCACTTTACACATCAGTCAGCGAATGTTTTAACCACATGCAAGCAGATAAATGAGACTACTGTTCTATTTCAGCTGCTCTTTCACGCTCTTTCAAAAAATACATTATAACCAAACTGTATGCAAAGCTAGATATAGATTTACAGATAGAGACACATATTATAATATAAATACAATTATAAACAAATGTGTATTTTGAAGATGCAAATATCGAATCACAGCTTTGCTATCGTATATTTCATTACAAAAATAAAAATGTGGAATTTATTTTTAATGAAATGTGCAACGATATCATTTGAGAAATACGTGTAGATTTTACTCATCGATTTTACTACGCCCTGCGATACACACGTGTGTCGTCACTAATATGCGCCGAAGAGACTTGTGAAAAGGAGATTTGGGAAAATTACCCAACAAGTCGAGAGAGGAAGTCATCATCCAGGATTTAAATGCAGTTTGTTTTCTTTGAAGGGGCGAACACCTTAATGCAGCATGCGGCTAAACTAGACACGGTAATCTCATCCCGGGTCGGCTGCTCTGCGTGTATTTCCAGTACACTGCTGCTGCCGTGTGGTTTAACGTTACTACCGCTAGCAACTAGTGAGTCATATTATCACAAACTGGTGAGGACACACTGGTGAGTGCGGTTAACGCTGCTAGCAGAGCACCCCCAACTAGCTAACGGTACCTGGAAATATATGAAACTATATCTGGTTAAAGCTACTCTGGGGCCACCGTCGACCACAAGCAGGCTGCTGTTTCTCAAAGTTCAAGCCAACTTAGCGTTAGCAGAAACGATGCACTGAGAGCTAACTTCGTCTCTTGGTCGAAGAGCCAACAACGGCAGAATGTGGCTTTAGCTGGTAAGTTTGTTTACTTCATGACTCACCAACCACTATTATGTTACTTGGCTAACGTTGTCGTTAGTTTAGTTGATATGGAAGCAAAGGTCTATATTTGCAGCAGCTACAAATAGGTTTAGGCTGTGTGTAGTCGCTGGCGTTTTCCATTGCAAATGCTACCATTTGAAGTGTTTTTTAACCTTTCTTTAAAAAAAAAAAAAAAAAAGGTTAAATCGCGGTCTTTGATCCAACGTTCGCCGCTAGTGTTTATTGTGGCATGGCAACCGCACAGCTGCAGAAAAGTCACATCTGTAGCGTTTAGCTTTTTTTTCTTACGCCAACTCTGACTCAGAGTAAGCTGGCATAGTTTTAGCTCAGCTCAGTTTTCTTTTAAATTATATCTGTCTTTTTCAGTCATGAAAGTTCATATATAATTAATATAAGGCTGAATTCATCAGTTGGTTTTTCCCCCTCAAACAGAAATGTTATTTTTAACATAAGTAGAAAGAAACAATTTTCTTGGTGGGATACATCTTAAATGCAACCCTAGTCGAAGGCCCGCCACAATAAATAAATATGTGTGTATTTATTTATTTATTGAGCACCTGAAGTCTGTAAGAGACAGAGAGGGAGCTTTAGCAAGAGTAACTAAGTAATGGTTTTCTGTATGACTTCATTGATGTCTCATATCATTGAAACACAAGAAATGTTGTTCCACTCTTCTTTTTGCCTTCTTTCATTTTGCTACTCTCTTGAGCTTTACAGCATTTGAGTCAAATTAAGGTCTAGACTGGACCATTGTAACATGTAGATATTTTTTTGTTTTTCTTCCACAGTCTTTATGTTGTAGATGCATTGCCTTGCTTGTGATTTTTTAAAAAAAAAAATGTATTTATTTAATTTTTTTGCATGACCAGCCCCAACCAAGCTTTAGATCTTAATCTCTAGAATACTTTGGTAAACAGAGTTTAGGTCCTGTGGCTGCAAACAAGACCAAATGATCACCACTCTAACACGTTACTATGAGATGTTTGTGGTGATATATACGTGTGTGTATGTATGTATGTATTAGGGGTGCAACGATACACAAAATTCACGGTTCGATATTTTTTCGATACAAAAAAATGTTCATGCTTTTTAATTTGTCATTTATTAAAATTATAAATATATATTTTAACTCAAAAGTACAGTTTTTAAATTTAATGTTGCTGAAACAACAAAGTAATAAAAAAATATATATATATCTGATCGAGAAATCACTCATCTTTGGAAAAGAGAGTTTATTACAGAGAAATAAAAGCTATACTATACGCTTCTTCTGGGCTGTATTCTCAGCAGCATATTAAACATATCAGGTCCCCATAAGGAGAATCATGTGCTAACGGCTGTCTATATGACTCAGGTAAAGTTTGTAGCATGCGTGCTTGTTGTTTTTGTCTGCTTCCACTTGTCTTTGCACTAGGATGATGTCGGAGTAAATGTGCAGTCATATCCGTTGCGTTCCCACTAGTGCTGTCAGCGTTAATCTCGTTGAAATTACGTTAACGCCACAACACAGCAAGTTAACGAGCTACCGCGGATCGCCCCGTGCATGGGGCTGGATGGCCAACACGTTAACGAGCTAACTGCGATAACACACTAGTTCCCACCAATGTAATTGAGCATTTCCTGGCACATCCAACATACTGTTTTACTTTTGTCCATGACGCGCTTACCTTCAGGGTCATACGTCACATGAAAACCAAAATAGTTCCAAACGCCAGATCTGAATGAGGGTGGGGGAGGTTCAATTTGCCATGTTGCAAGGAGAGCTTAACTTGCTAGCTTGCCCTGCACTCAAGATTAAATTGAGAAAAATAAATCAGTTAGCAAATAACAGCACAGCTATTTAACATTAACAAAACAGGATTAAGTGTAAAAGACTAAAATCACAAACTGCAAAGAGGTAATGCATTCCTTGAACTGTAAAGGACTGCCCCTGTACTGTAATAAAACCCATAAATGCTACTGTTAAATTCAACATGGCTCTATGTGTTTAAGATTTATTTTACTCTATTTGCTAACCCTCCACTTAGTACTTTTTGGTGGGAGTGGAAGTGCATTTTCTTTCCACTTTCATGTAGCTCAGCAGTGGTTGAAGATGGGAGGATGTTCCCTTGATAGTTAAAGCGTGTAGAGAACAGTTTAGTGATGAGGATTCCAAGTGACTTGAATTGATACAATGGGTCCACTGTAGCTCTCTACCACACTGTCTGCTTCAGAGGAAGGAAATGTTCACAATCTCAAAAAGAAAACCCTCTGGGGCATAGATGCATTGCATTTTTATGTGGTTTTCTCTGCAGCTCTTGCACACATCCCAACCCTACCCACCTCCCCTTTGTCCTACCTGAACACTGTTTACAGAGTTAAAGTTGCAATTAAATGGTAAGGGGAATGCACTGCAAACGCAAAAATGTAAAAGAATTTAAAAAAATAAATAAATAAATAGAGAAAGAAAAAAAATTTGCAATCAGGATAGGCATACAGTTTTAGGCAGTAGAAACCTTGATAAATGTTTAAATGTCAGTGTTGGGGTATTGATTGTTGTCTTAATTTTTGCAATACAGGACTCATCAGATGGAGGAGTTCACAGCAGTCATCCCATCTGCTGCTTTCTAAACTTCAGCTATTGTGCCTTTTATCAAACTTGTGCTCCTGTAACTGTGCTAGCCATGGCTTCTCGCAGTGTTGATGAGCCACCAAGTGATACCAGGAATTTACCATCAGTCTCCGAAGAGCCTTCAAGATGTTACCCAGATGACGTCGTGGGAGAGCTTCAGCCAGACACCATGAATGCAACAGTGAAATCTCAAAAATCTGGAAAATTCAGGAGGACTGCCTTGACATTTTTTGGAGTTCGTAAAAGTATCTGTATTCTACCAAGCTTTTTTGGAGGAAGGAGCAAAAATCAGAACAAGTGGTCCTCTAAGAAAGGAATCAGCAAAAGCAAAACCCATGACGGGCTGTGCAAAGTCAGTCAGGATGATGGTCTAAGAAGCGGGTATGCCTCAGCTGGAGATTTTGAGTACCACAGCCAGAGGGACACTGTGGGAGAGCTCCACAGTAGTTGTAGCAATGAATGTAGTCATCCTGCTGCTGAGCAGAAATCACTGACTCTTGGTCGGCAAAAAAAGGGTTTGAGGAGTCTTTTTCACAGTTTTAAGCATCACAGAAATCACAGAAATGATGGATTGGCTAAAACTGAAGTGATTGCAATGTCCTCTCCTCACTGCAAGAAAGAGGTGCCTGTTGTCCGGGACATCAGCCAGTTTGTCACAGAGTGCCTGGGATCTGAACCCAATGTGCCTGATTTTGTAGACGTCACAAGTGATATTTCCATTGGTCCTGAACGTAATGAGGCCAATGTGCAGACAGTGTTAGAGAGGAGTCTGGAGAAAGAAAGCCCAAAGTCAG